GTACCGCAGAATTTTTTTGAGGTATCAGCAAATATCATATCATAACATATCGTAAAAAATCAAATCAATTGTATGCATCACTAATAACTACATTAAGTATGTTCCCAATCAGATGGTTGGTCTAGATATCCACTTTTTTTCATACGGCCTATGACACTGCGTGAATTATGGGAGTAACTTATTTAAACAATCAATGAAAGGTTCACTCTATGAACGCAATAAGCATGTTCAAAAACGGTACAATGAGATGAACATTATTCTTCTCAGCCTTCAAACAAACAAAAATCAGGACATGTAAAAAGGTAAAAGACAAGCATTAACAAATGACTGCCAGAGACCATGAAAACCCCCCAATTAATTCTGCAACAATATTACGAACGTGTTACACTGTACAGTAAACACTGCTAACTAACATGTGCAAGAAGTGAAAAGGGGAGAACATTATATTAAAGCATCCTTGTGAAAACAAAACTGGAAAGAGATGTGAGGATTTGGGGAGAAAACGAGAGATTCTTAGTGTATTCGAGTGAATTATTAATGCGATATTACTGTAAATTAAATCAAATGCCCAGTATATGTCGTCCTTTCTCATACAGCGGAAAACAAAGAAAAGAATCAGAAGTAAAAGAATGCAGCAACTAAAGAGCTCTTGCCACAAATATTCATACATTATTCACTTGAAGTCTGAACATGAAGGAAATTCACCAGCTCATTCAGTCAAACTTACGGATAGTGATCAATTGTAGCACAACCTTATGAATGATTTTATTGTTAATTAAGTGGAACATCCCCAAACCGGAAGTGCCTCCTGTAATCTAAACGTCGTGAGAAAGCTGGATGAGACTGAAAATCACTCTGACAGGGGGAAACGTGTGTAAACTTACACCAATGTCATCCACCAACATCTTGTCCAGTCCTACGGGGCCGAGGGAGCTCTTGACGATGTTAGCGATGGATGCAGCGGCCATGACTGCAAATTAAAAACAAAAAAATCAGCATATGAAGATTTAACTTTTCTGCTCAGCATGATTACGCAGACAGTGTTGCCTGCAGTCAGAAACCTTTGCCATATACGTTTTTTAATGCAAAGTTAGAACGCAAAAGGTTATAGTGCAACTAAATCATAAAAGTGTTTGTATAAAGGATTAGTTCACTTTAAAAATCCAAAACTTTATTTACTCACCCCCATATCATTCAAGATGTCCATGTCTTTCTTTCTTCAGTCGAAAAGATACTAATGTTTTTGATGATTTTTCTCCATATAATGGACTTCAATGGGGTCCAAACGGTTCAAGGTCCAAATGAGTTTCAGTGCAGCTTCAAAGGGTTTTAAAGACACGAGACGATGAATAATGGTCTTATCTAGCGAAACGATCGGTCACTTAGTTCATTTTGTTCGTTGAATGAATTAAGGAAAAGATTCGCTCATTTTGACAGGAGAGTCACGAACGCGTATAACAGGTGGCTAAGGCGAGCATTTGTGCTTATAAAACTTAGACTTTTGTTATTTATTTATTAAATGACCAATTGTTTCGCTTGATAAGAACCCCATTCATCATCTGGTGTCGTTTAAAGCCCTTTGAAGCTGCACTGAAACTCACTTTTGGACCTTGAACCGTTTGGACCCCATTGAAGTCCATTATATGGAGAAAAATTCTGTAATGTTTTCGTCAAAAACCTTTATTTCTTTTCAACTGAAGAAAGAAAGACATGGACATCTTGGATGACATGGGGGTGAGTAAATTATCAGCAAAAGTTTTTTTGAAAGTGAACTAATTCTTTAAGTTCTGTGGACTTAAAAACTGACACTAAACGGGGCGTGGATGCAGCGTCACACAATAGCAGAAGTCTAACGTTACCAAAGCCATTAATGTATATGCATGGATTACGTTTTTCTTCAACGTTACTGTATACCGTGTAGTTCAAGCAAGAACTTATACCCATCATGGCATCACTAATTTAATTCATATTTCACATGCTTTGATTCCTCCATCTGATAAAGTAGCGCACATGCGTAGCTAGATCAGTGATGGATACTCTAACGTCACCGGGTCAAGAAACACAATCCCTGTTAATTACCGACAGCGTCCGGACTAAAGAAATGAACACAATAAAGACTGCAGAATACCGTGAATACGTTTTAAGTTGTAGGTTCAGTTTTAAACACACACTGGTTCCCCTGAGCCGCACGTGCTGCTCGAGACACCGGCCGGAGCAGCTCTTCCGGTGAAGCATCGCCGCATCGGGCCGTTTACCGCACCGCTTTGTTGTGCTGTGGTCAAACATGCTCCCGACTCACCGTTTTGAGCCCTGACGGACTCGCCGGTCGTCCTCTGGCCGAGCACAGTTAACGGACCCTCTGTCATAGACATGTTGGACTGGAGAGAAGAATGGAGACGCGCGCGGTGGATTATGGGTAGGTGCGCGCGGGAGGGGCGCGGGTGGAAAGTTCCAGATCAATCCTGATAAACAGCTTTCTTTCAGTTCACACTCACATACATGAGCCGCTTAACCTTTCCAAAGACACTGGTATCTATAAAGAGCAATGCAACCTCACAGATTAATCCAAATAGCGTTAGAGTTTGAAAGAAAACTACAATTCCCTGTTTGAATGTGGTAATTTCTTCGATGGTTTTCGTCAAGGCATTAACCAAGATTGAGGGACATCTAGTGGACTGGGGGAGCAGCGGCAGTTCTTTTACCGTGTGTTTGTGATGGGAGAAACGATTATTTTCAAAGATTCGAATCAATTGAACCAATTGCTTCACAAAATGATTCGGTTCGAAACGCCAAACGCTGGTGACCCCTGCTGATCAGAACAGAGGAAATGCAACAGCTCAAGCCAAACATGCATCAAAACACCTTCTACAAACCCATTACAAATGTTTATTTAAAGTAAAATCAATCAAATGCAATTAACTAATCGTCTAATAATATTAAACATCAAGTGTCTGTGTATAATATGTCATTATGTGTTCTTTTATCCATTTTCAGGACTTGTTTTGTTTGTTCCATGGATGGCTCAGCATAATAGAAACAGCAAACACCCCTATAGACTTGGTTGGTGTCAAGTCTAAAAGCCAAGAAAAAAATCCTTTCCCCCTGATTGGAAAAGCGTGGTGTTTTCCCAGTATGGCGTACTTATGCTATGTTACAGGCAGGTTTTTGAGCACGTAAATCACGAATCACAACTTTGTAGCATTCCAGGCCAGTCACGCCAAACTACCTGAGCGCAAGGAATTGTGGTAGCTAGATGTAAACAAAACCAGCACCTTACGGGGCTTATGCGCATTTGCTAACGCCGAAGGTGTTTACTTCTTGTTTATTTGAGGGAAGAAAAACGGCACATAAGGCAAGATAAGTTGTTATACCATTTATTTTACTTTATTTGTATATTTTGGAAATGTATTTGGTATTAATTTATCCTTGCACTCAATGGACTGAAAACTAGTTAACATTATATTGTCCTAAAGTGTATTCTCACCGTGTACCGCCTGAAGAAACACTGTCCTTGTATAGGGGCTGCCTGCCATTGTTGTTTTGTATGGTTCGCAGGTGTCAGAGCTCATAACTGGAAGTACATCGATCTACTATGAGTTCATGGGTGGGAAGTCATGGGCTTGACTGCATTTTTTGTTGCGTCAATGAGTCTGACCCTAAGGAAGTTAATATAGCAAAGATCGGTTGTTCCCAGCCATTTCACTTCAAGTCAAGTCACATTTATATAGCGTTTTTTACAATACAGATTGTATCAAAGCAGCTTCACAGTGATAACATGAAAATAATACAACACGGCTCAATAATATTGTTGAATATTAAATGTCCCCAACTAAGCAAGCCAAAAGCAAGGCAACAGTGGCAAGGAACCAAAACTCCATCAGGTGACTGAATGGAGAAAAAAACCTTGGGAGAACCCAGGCTCAGTCGGGGGGCAGTTCTCCTCTGGCCAACGAAGGAACAGTGATTACAAAACAAATTGGATCGAAACATTAAGAGCATTTGTCCATTTCCAGTTGTTTAGAAGTCGAAGCGCCCGTGCCTTCAGATCAGTTGGACGTGGCTGTGATTACAAGAGGTAAAAACGATATAAATACTGTTCGTTTTCTCACACAAACCGCTCTTTTCGTGTCTTAGGCCATCAATGTGTTCTTACATTTACGAGTCATTAAATCATGTTTAATTTGGACTTCTCTGTGCATGCTCTTTGAGATGGTGACCATAGACCTGCATTATACGACTGGCAGACAAAATATCAAAATTGAAAATACTGTGGAAACAAAGACGACTACATCTTGGATGCCCTTGAGGTAAGCTAAAACACACCAAAAATTAATTTCAAAGTGAACTATCCCTTTGAGAGTATAGTTCACTGTGATTTCACTCAAATTCATTGCAAATTTAGTCCCTCATGTTTTCAGATTTGTCTGTTTTCCCCTTGTTGGCTATATAGGCTAACTTTTGCTCACAATCCTAAAATTGCAAGTTTTTAAAAACAATTACCATTATTGTCAATGTGTAAACTACAAAAAAAAAATGCAAATTTGTGAAACCAGTGATGTCATATGCATGTATTACATGTTCAGTATATAGGAGTAATGTTTCTTTACAAAGTGGCATCACAAACCACTGGCCTGGCATTAATAATATAGCATTTATATATAGTTAATATAGTCTTTTTTTTTTAAATAAAGTTAATAAAGACCCTTATTTATCGTCTGGTGTCGTTTAAAGCCCTTTGAAGCTGCACTGACACTCTCATTTGGACCTGTTTGGTTACCAGTAAAGTCCATTATATGGAGAAAAATCCTGTAATGTTTTCATCAAAAACCTTAATTTCTTTTTGACTTAAGAAAGAAAGACATGGACATCTTGGATGACATGGGGGTGAGTATTATCAGCAAAAGTTTTTTAAAAAGTGAACTCCTTTAAGAATATAAATAAATATATATATAAATATAAATATAAATAAACATTTAACTTTGAAAAAACTGAAGAAGCAGTTTTGTTTTAATTGAAGGTTTATTTGTTGCCAACAATACATCTTCGACCAGTTACTACAAGGCAGTTAAAAAACAAAACAAATGTCAAAAAATTAAATTAAGATCATGAAAATAGGCAAATGGCAACATTCATAAATATGTACATCTTTACAAACAGAATGTTTAAAAGGAGGAAAAGTGCAAAAGTAACAATTCCAATGAATAACAGTCCCCACCAGTGAAACAGAAAATGAAATGTACAACTAAATAAAATAGAAAAAAAAAAACTATATAAACATACTTCATTCAAAGCTTCCATCTATATTCAATTCAGTTTATTTACACTGGTACTTTCATTTTCACCATTTACTCCTGGTTCTAGGTTTCTTATTTCAATGTAACATTTTGTAAGGAAACATCTTTGAACAATACTCATACAACAACAGAGCTAACATCTTATACACTTTTTTCAAAAACCAAACCAGCTGAGCAACCAGTCGACAACGGAGACGGGGGGATAAATAAATAAGAAAAATAAACTGAAATGTGCTGTGAAAATTAATAATAAAAATATCTAAATGTTTTGAGTGTGAAGACAGGGTGGGGACAGCCAATGCTGAATATTTTAAACACTAAACACAATTAAATGATCAGACAACACAAGTATTGAACTCAAATTTACATCAAATTACAGTACGTTTCTGACACCTCAAACTCCTCATTCTCCAATATGGTCCCCTGAACAGATTAACCTAAAATTAACAAACTATACATTTTATTGTCCTGTGTTTTTTTGCCGATTACATCTTAGTTGTGGTCCTGACATGATGCTAAATTAAATTATATCTAAAGACAGTCTCACAATTTTAGCAAAACTTGATCAACTTTTAAATATACTTATGACCTTCCAGTCTGATAAATTTATATCTATCTCTAATGTACAGCATATTAAAATATATATGGAGTCTATGTATTCTTGACCTGGAGAAAATGTGGCATGCAAATATTACAAATTACGCACTGAATGGTCATTGGCTGATGTTAGCATAGTTTCCTGTAGATGCAGCCACCTACACAACCAAATAACGTCTACACAATTAAAAGGAAATATTTAATTATTGGCTTAAGGAACTGTCAGCATGTTTACACAGAAATTATGGCAGATAATGTAATTAACATCACCAGGCATGTGCGCCTTATGTGGCTTATCTTAAAGCTTGTATAGCAACATTTATATACATGTACTTGAATATTATAAGCAGAAGTTTGAGAATATTGTAACATTTTAAGAGAGAAATAAGTTGTGTCTAAGTCCATGTAGCCAGTGTTCTTCTTTCATTTTCGTTCTTTTCTGAATTACAGTTCCCTTTAAAACTTAGGTCATGGTATAGGTCAGATCACAAATCTTAGTCATGTGACATAATTATTGGGTCTTAATATTAAGGAAAAGAAAGCTGTGTACAGTGTTACTGCTTAGATCTGTATCTTAGTGTGTTCAAGTGTAGAGATGAGCGAACTAATGCTTGAATCCAAAGTTTTCAAATTGAATGGTGTTGTTGAGTTCACCGAGCTCTGTAAAGTACAATGGATTACAGCTAATATGTTGTATATCATGTGCTTTGTGTTGTGTCTTTAAGTTGTGTGTCATTTCCTCCTTGTATGTGCTAAGTCCATCATTACTGCTCCCTAAGCAAAACTGCTTGAGCTGAGACACTGGATCTTTTCCCTCAGTGACTGGACAATAGTTGGCTGATTTACACCTTGCTGGCTGCAATCTGGATCATCCCACAAGTATCCCTGCAGAGCCGTGTCAGGGTTGGTGGGAACCTCCGGTTCATTTACGGGGGTGCCTTGAGCAATTTTTTGCTTCTGTTCTTCATCCTCGTCTTCTGAACGGATCTCTACATAATCGTCATCGTCATCTCCAGTGTCTTTAAAGTTGGCCAGATAATTCTCCGTGGCACTTTGCGCGTTCAGTGGCACCTTTCTGTTCAGCACAAGTATTTGCTGCGAGTCCCGCAGTGTGATATCACACGACACTGAGAGGTCTGACGTCTCCAGGACTGGGCATTCTGGGAGGCTGTGCTGTCGAGGCATCTGCGTCCTTGATTCTTTTCCGTTCGCTTCCCACACCTGATTGCATAGCCCCCCGCCATTTTCGTTTCCAGTCTGGTCTATCAATGAAGATGAGGACTGGCAGCGATTATAGGACGACACCTTAGCGTTTCGTGGTCCAATTGAAGTGTAAATGTGATCGGAGTCATCTTTACTTGGTGTCACACAAGCACTCCAACGCTGATTGGGTGGAGTACTAGGAGTAGGCGGGAGGTTCTTCAAAGCAGGGGTAGAAATTGCAGGGGTCATTCCTCTCTGTGGGGTTGAAGTGCATACTGTTGTTTGTGCTGGCCAGGACACAAAATCAGCAAGCTCCCCATTGCTGTACGTACAGTTCAGCCAGTCAGAGTCTTGTGTAGAGCGCGTAGATAAGGAAGGAGAGGAAGTGGTGCTGGGGAAAAGTGGATGATGGCCGGCAATACTGATCGATGACTTCAGTACTGGAGTAGTGGCTGGGGAACCCTTGAATACCACATGTTCATACAAATGAGAGTACTCGGCTATTCTTGCACCTAAGGAGAAGAAAGACAGATGCATTCATAAACTAAAATACCACATTGTTCAATGAGTAACACAATGTAGAACAGGGGTGCCCAACCCTGCTCCTGCCGATCGACTGTCCTGCACAGTTCATCTCCAACCCTAATCAAACACACCTAAAGCAACCAATTAAAGTCTTTAGGATCACTTGAACATTAAAGCAAGGTGTGTTTGACACCTGACACCACAAACACCTGGCTATAATGTTCAAGTGATCCGAAAGACCTTAATTGGTTGCTTTAGGTGTGTTTGATTAGGGTTGGAGATAAACTGTGCATGACAGTCAATCGGCAGGAGCAGGGTTGGGCAACTCTGATGTAGAACAAAGAAAGAATAACATCAGCCATAAAGTATCAGCCATAATGTCTTACCTATTGCTGTGCCACCTTGTTTCTTCTCCTCCAGTATAGCTGCCAGGTCCTTCTGTTTGCTTAGCCTCAACTTAGCGCAACTGGGTTCATGGTCCATGCTCTTCATCTTCAGTAACTGGTTGGCCTTTTTGATCTTCTGACTGTACTGTCTAGCCATGAGGAAAACTCTGTTTTTGCCCCTATCCCCAAGCTCAAGAACCTGGTCCCCAGCTTCCCCACCCAGCAGCAGACTAGAGGAGCCAGAGTCCATGCTACTAAACATGGCATGAAGTCCTGAGTCCTTCGATGAAGGGATGTCCTCATCGTCTATCCGGAAGCTTCCGCTGCTTAATCTTGCAAGTTTATTGCGGATGCTCTTCACTGTGCCAGGTTGAGGCTCAGGGGTAGGGGAAGGGGCTACAGGAGAGGATAATGCTCCATCATTTTCACCCAACACAGTTTCTGGGAGGAGGTCTGGAGTGTTGAGGATAGGTATAGACATAGCTAGACCTGGAGGGGGGTTAGAAGCTGGTGGGTTGGGTGATCCAGGTGGAGCACAAACAACCGGGATTGTTTTTAAAGGTAATTTACTTGAAGAATCACTTGACTTTTGAGCAGAATTAGCTTTTTTATTTGGAGATTCGTGTGCTTTGCATCGGGGATCGTTACTTCTCTGTTGCAACTTGGTCACTTTACTTGGGGAGTTGTGCGTTTTTCTTGGAGAGTCTTTCCCTTTGTGTGAGGAATTACGTGCTTTTTTGGGCGAGTCCTGTGTTTTACATGTGTTGTCTGTTCTGCTTACAGGAAATGCAGCTGGAAGTCTGTCTGGTTTCTTTTCATTGTTCCGGATGTAGTTTTCCAAATCCGTCCAGATCTCATCCACTTTCTCCAGCTGTGGAGAAAGCTGAGATGTTTCAGTGTCTGAAATTGCAGCAGAGGGAATGTGGGGCTGATCTGCCTCTGTTGTGTTGGTAGGGCAGATTCTTTCCTCAGATACAAACCCTGTTAAAATCTGGCTAGTCATGAGATCTACCTCAGATGTCTGCAAACTGTCTGGCTTTCCATCATCCATCTCAGCTGCAAGGACTGGTGGCTCCTGAAAGACAATGGTGTCGTAAACATTCTCTTCATCCTCAACAATTTGCAGCTCACATGTCTCAAATGGCTCCCCTTCTTGACCAGAAGACCTATTGCTCTCACATGAACTCTCAGTTTCAGTTGGAGTTATGATAACTTGGGGAGCTATCCTAGATTTGACCTCTGCTACCTCAGAGAGTGCATGGACAGCTTGATCCTTACGGATAAGCCCCATGGCTTGAAGCTCCTCGTAACTAATGTTGTCGTAAACATTCTCGATATCATCAACGGTTAACTGCTCGGCAGATGATGACCCTGAGATTTCATTGCTTGAAGACTCAGTCTGGTTGTTGGCCTCTTCCTCTTGTAGGGCTCGCTTGCTAGGACTTAATTGCTCACTTTGGTTTTCTCCAACACTGTTGGCCCTGCGAAGTGTTGTTCTGCTCCTGCTTGTAGGAAGGTCTAGGCATGATGCTTTAGTCTGTTCAACATGCCAGCTACAGGGTCTTTCTGGATGGTCAGCAGCCTCATGGTCACTCTCAACATCATGACTGCTTGTCTCATTCTCCGTTGGCAGGAACATCTGATAGATGTCTTCATCATCGTCAATTTGAAAACTCTTTTGACGAGTTGGAAACATAGCCCTCCGGACTCGGTGATCTGTCCATATGTTGCGGAAAGAAGGCTGCTCTCCAGTTGCCAGCATGTTGCGTGTGTTGTATTCATTTCCGTCTGATTCAGGAGGTGCGGTCACCCGTAGGATTGGGGGGGTGATAACCTTATTTTGCAGGGACTCTTTAGCAGTCTGAGTGAAAAATGAATAATAACACTTTTTACCATACATTATATCAGTGCCGCTGGAACTAAAATACAATTTTGATAACGACAATTTGTTTAATTAGGGATTAATGAGATTAAAGGAGAACTCCGGCAAACAATGAACCTTGGTCTAATAAAACATCGGTACATAGTCAATCATTCTCTGAGATTTCTTTTCATGATAATCGAATGTAAAGTGTTTTATCTCTAAAAACTGTTTAGCGTATAATGCTAGTAATGGGGGCATTGACTAAGTAAAAAGAAATCGCTAGTTTATATCACTAACAAGGCTCAAAATAGCCCCAAACTAACGCATAATGAGGCATTGAGAACTTTGTAAGTGTACAGACCGTTTAATAAGAAGATACTTTATAAAGACAGTTCACTTCCCGTATACAGACAGGAGCCATCTTAAAAAATAGTCTCGATAAGTCAAGCCACGAACGTCGTGCTGAGTGATCTGAACTGTGTGATGTTCAGCGAACGTATGAACTGTATGAACAGCATTCGGGGATCGAATTATCAAGACTATTTTTTAAAGATGGCTCCTGTCTGTATACGCGAAGTGAACTGTCTTCATAAAGCATCTTCTTATTAAACGGTCTGTACACTTACAAAGTTCTCAATGCTTCGTTTTGCATGTATGGAGCCTCGTTATGTTACTGTGTTAGTGTGGGGCTATTTTGAGCCTTGTTAGTGGTATAAACTAGCGATTTCTTTTTACTTGGTCAATGCCCCCATTACTAGCATTATACGCTAAATAACAGTTTTTAGAGATAAAACTCTTTACATTCGATTATCAAGAAAACAAATCTCAGAGAATGATTGACTAGATACCGATGTTTTATTAGACCAAAGGTTCATTGTTGGCCGGAGTTCTCCTTTAAAAGTATGAGAGCATTCTAAGCTGTGCTTTTCTCAGTATAAATGCAAGCCTACTCCATTCACTGAGACATGTTGCTAAATCTCAAAATAATTATCACAATAATTAGTGGTGTGAAATGTGTCCCAGCCACATCAAGTGTCACCATGTCCTTACCTGGAGGTCTGTATGAGTAAGGTTGCTGTTTCTCCACTGGTCAATGCTGTCCACCGACACTTGCTGGTTTAGTCGTTTCCGGCTACCCTTCCCTGGCACTCTCAACTTTCCCCCAGAGCTCTGGTTGTGCAAAATTGGTTTCATTACATTATCAAAATCATTTTTATATTTGACAATAAGAGTCTGCACTAAGATTGCAGGCACAATGCTAAGGCATTATCAGGACACTTCCATACAATTGCTTGGGCGGTTTCTAGATGTATTTTGTTCTCTAGATATGCTTTTGGTCTCTCAAGCAAGCACCACTAATTATCTAACAAACAATTGTACTTCTGAATTAGAAAACAGGCTAGGCCAGTAAGCTTAATATGGAGTCAAGTGCCTTGCACAATGGACAATGGTGGTGAGAAAAACTGAAAACTTGATTTCTGAGGCTGCATTTCTCATTATTATGTTAGCAGCTCAGATCCTACACCCTTAAAGGAGTAGTTTACTTTTCAGAAAACTTTTGCTGATAATTTACTCACCCAAATGTCATCCGAGATGTCCATGTCTTTCTTTCTTCAGTCGAAAAGAAATAAAATGAAAACATTCCAGCTTGGTTTTGATGAAAATATTCCAGCATTTTTCTCCATTTATTGCACTTCAATGGGAACCAAACAGTTCAAGGTCTAAAAGACACTTTCAGTGCAAACTGCTAACTGTTCAAAGGGCTTTAAACGATTCCATACGATGAATAAGGGTCTTATCAAGCGAAACAATCGCTCATTTAAAAAATAAATAACAAAGTTTAAGTTTTATAAGCTCAAATGCTCGCCTTGCTCTGTTCTGCGATGCAAGTTCGTGACTCTCCTGTTAGAACTCGTTTATCAAAATGTTCATTCGTTTTGTTCGTTGAATGAACCAAATGACTCAGAAAAAGATTCGTTCATTTTGATGAACGAGTTGGAATAGGAGAGTCATGAACGTGCATCACAGAACAGAGCAAGGCAATCATTTCGCTTGATAAGACCCTTATTCATCGTCTGGTGTCGTTTAAAGCCCTTTGAGCAGTTTGCACTGAAACTGTCTTTTTGACCTTGAACCATTTGGTTCCCATTGAAGTCCATTATATGGAGAAAATGCTGGAATGTTTTCATCAAAAACCTTAATTTCTTTTCGACTGAAGAAAGAAAGATGTGGACATCTTGGATGACACGGGGGTGAGTAAATTATCAGCAAAAGTTTTTTCCTTTAACAAACTAGCATTTTCTTGTTTGCTGCTATTTTAACTGACCTCTTAGTAATTATTAATCGGGTGAAAATAAAAACATTCAATGCCAATTCAGACTTACCAAACCAGTATCATCCTCATCATCAGCATCCTGTAGATGTGGCTCTTCATCTACATCACTGTGGTCACCAGGGTCCAGAGATTCTTGTGATTCGCTGACAAGGCTGCGGGATCGGCCGATAGAACCCAAAGTGGCCACAGGGGACAGCAGACTGACTCCAAAACTAGAACTCTGTGAGGAGCAAATACATTTACAGTTTATTTTTTTTACTTGTTTAAGGTTTATCATTAGATTTGTATAATGGATCAATGCCTGCATGTTACAGTATGCGTGGGGTGTTTTACCTGCTTCTGTATATCTGGACTGGATACTACAGCAACAGTAAGAAAGAGAGAAAGAAATAAAATCATAAAAACACATCAAAACATAATGTTTAAATGATTAAAACATTTACTTTTCAAACAAATGACACTTACTTATATGTTTGGAGTTTTTCAATAACTTAGATAAGGGCTCTGATGATGAGACAAAAAGACATGTACAGCAAGACAGACAGAGTAAATGAGTAAAAATGATGATCAATAAAAAAGTATGTTTGTTTGTTTATTCGTGCAGTGGGTCTCACCTGTCTTCCTGCGTACTCTCCGGGGCGAGGGACCCTCTTTAGTGTTCACTCTCTTGTCGTCAGAGTTGTAGTTGAAACTTGGGTGGTCTGAAAAAAGTTAAGAAAAGTGTATGAAATCCAGTCATTGGAAAGATGGATAAAATATAATATTGCAAAGTGCAATTTGAAGTTTAAATAAAACTTACTTGCGGTATCCATATCCAGAATGGCCTGCTTAGCCTGTGGAGAGACAGAAAGAAAACTGACTTCCTCAAATACTACGTATTTATTTGTGTGTAGTATGTGTGATGGTTTTTGATGAAGTACCTTGAATTTATGCTAATTATAATTTTGAATTGAAACACATGATTATGCAATAAATATGTTTTATAAATTAAACAATTAAAATAAGAAATATAAATAAAAAAACATGAAAGTGTTACAGTTATTTTATTACAGTAATACGTCACAATGCAAAACATCTGAATGGACCTAAAAATAAAATCTTTTGATTTTGAGGCAAAATATGATTCGGACACATTTATATGTGATTTAGAAAAAAAGTTCAGGACCTTAAAATTGGGCAAATAATGATTATAGAGTATACCTGAATATGAGTAAACAGAAATTTGCATCTATTCTCTGTGAAAATGTGAATTTTTGACAACTAAATGTCCTCTGGGTGGCGCTATGCCTTCAGTTCTGTAAATACAGAAACTTCTGCTTCACCTTCGAAGTTCTTTGTGAACTATATTTTATCATGACGTAGTTGAGTGTGAATAGCCAGATTTGGCCACAGCTGCCTAATCACTGAGCACATTGTACAGAAGTAGAGTTGGGACAAAATGTGTATGTGCATGTCCTAACCTTGGCCGGTATTTTGGCAGGATGGTTTTCAAGGATCAGTCGTTTTAGATGCAGGACCCACGTTCTCTTGTCCTGTTGAGACTTTGCCTGAAAATGGACGATTAGAGATATATCAGCACAATCTGCAAATTAAGATAATTTACTCACACACCTCTATAAGGCTACTGTGACCGAGTCATCCCGCAATCAAAGAACATCAACATCAATCATCAAAATCAAAGCAAACACTTTCATCAACTGGGTGGTGAACGTCAGCACAATCAGTAACTAACATACAGATGTGATCGACTGGAACGGGCTCTCACCGGTGACGCACTTATACACACTTCATTTCAAAAGAAAGTAAACTCTCTGATTTTTCATTACAGTAGTGCGGTTGAACATAGTTTTCTCAGGTGGATGGATGGTTTCATAACATCTTAGGGTTAAAGCTGAACATATGGTTAGGCATGTATTAGCCCCTGAGATAACAGTGAGGCATCCAATCATTAGGAGACGAGGTGATTTACGGACAGTGGTTCAGTATACGGCACCATATTTATGACTACTCGGCTGACATCCAACACACAGGTCAGATGTAACAGCACTGGCTTTAGGCGAGACTCGTACTGTCACACACACTTATGTCTGCGTGTATTCATACATGCTGAAGCTTGTAGGTGGGTGGGTGTGGTTTTACTAGGGTAGCGTTCAAGGCGATTGGCTATCCTTCAGAAGTCTGGCCTCATGCTAAACATTCCACTGTGTGTTTAACATAACCTGCTGATCTTTGGTTACATGGTGGTGTGTGTGTGTGTACGTCTGTGTGCAAATTAGAAAATTACCTGCACAGTGTGTTGAAGTTTGGGGTTCTTGTAGTGGAACACACTGAAGCTTAGCGGCTCTTTAGGAATGACTTCTACCAACATTAGGTTACAGCACTGCACAATTGTAGTGATGGGAATAAACATAGAATAGAGATTATAGTTACTTAGTGTTCCTATCATTTGATAAAACCATGACAACTTATGCACATTTCATTTACAAACAATAACTTAAACGTGGTACCCTTAGGGTTACAATGGCCTTTCACTGGGGCGGCACCCTTGACGCAACACCTTTGTAACTTCTTCAGCCCCAAAGGGTGTATATTAATACTTTGGGGTATTATTATATTCCCAGTAAGGTAGTAATATGTACTCTTATGGTACTACTATGAACCCTTTAAATAAGAAACAAAGCTGTCACTTTGAGGGTACACTCTCAGAAAAAAAGGTACAAAAGCTGTCACTGGGGCTGTACCTTTTCAAAAGGTACACTTTTGTACCCAAAGGCTGCATATTGGTACCTTAGTGGTACATATTAGCACCTAAAATGGACATACTACCACCTAAAAAGGACATATTAGCTCATTGAATTGACATATTAGCACCTAAAAGGTACATATTAGCAACTAAAATCTACATATTAACACTTAAAATGTACATATTAATGCACATATTACCACCTAAAATGGATATATTAGCTCATGAAATTGACATATCCTGAAATGGACATATTAGCACCTAAAATGTACATATTAGCACCCAAAATGTACATTTAACACCTAAAATGTACTTATTAGCTCATGAAATGGACAAAAGTTTACCTTTTGAAAAGGTACAGCCCCAGTGACAACTTTTGTTGAGTGTACAAGCTTGGAAATTTAAATGAACCCAGTTTATTTTTTGGAGCAGATCAAAAGTGGTCAAATGGACACCATTGTGAGTGCTATCCGGAGCTGTTTACTGTAATAGCAACATGATGGCATATTTGTGCCTTCGGATTTTCCACTATACTTTATATGCACCGAATGTCACTTGTCTTTGCCAAGGATACAGTGCAAGAGATTCAAAGAATGCAAGCTGAAGGTCCTATTTCAGAGACAAGCTCAACTTGAACATTCTCATTTGCAGTTTACTTGAATGAATGAGGTATTTATGTACCTTTTCCTATGTACTACTGTGCACCCAAAGCATTTTACAATCAGCACTTTACACTTTACAAATTCCCTGTTCCATTGTGCTACACCAGTGTGGATGAAGCGATGGCAGACACACCAGATAGGTGGAGAGGAGAGAGAGTGATCGGGCCAATTCAGTGGATGGGGATTATTAGGAGGCCATGATTGACACCGGGGTTACACCCCTACTCTTTACGAGAAGTGCAATGACCACATTGAGTCAGGACCTCGGTTTAACATCTCATTTGAAGGATACTTGTGAGAGTTCATTTGGATTCCTTTTTTACCAATCCTGAACAGTGCAAGGGTTCATTTGAACCCTATTACACTATACCACCTTTTGAAGTGGACTCAGGGGCAGTTTGTTCGGCAACACCCAAGCCTGGAAAAACATTTTCACACCAACCAAACCTTGTCATTTCTACTGTGAAAGTGCCCTTAAGGACAATAGCTAGTCCAAGTTGGTCTAACTTGTTAATCAGCTGGGCTACCGGCCGGTGAGGACAAGGCTGACCTGGTAGAGCACCTTGGCCAAGTCTAACCACCAACAAAAAGAAAGCTACTGTGACCTGAAAAACAGCCTGACCTCCCTGGGGTATTTATATTGGCTCTCACCAGGATGTGGGCCTTGTAGGTGTAAGTCTCCTCGCGTTTCTTGGTGATCAGCAAAAGTTTGTCGAACAGGAAGAGTGTTCTCTCATTCTTCGCTCTCTGGATGCGGAATGTTCCCTCGAGAACCAGCTCGCCATAGCTAATCAGATCAGGTCCCTTCCAGTTAGTCAACAAACTCTGAATCTCCTGAGAGAGAGAGAGAGAGAGAGAGAGAGAGAGAGAGAGAGAGAGAGAGAGAGAGAGAGAGAGAGAGAGAGGAGAAGAGGAGGAGTGTTACTTTCCACGTACATGACTTTAGCCGACAGGCAAGTTGGGAATGACGTCTATGTCTGATGAGTCTCAAACAGAATGTTTTATTATCTGTTACCACATACCCATAAAAAGTGTGAACCCTGCAGCAAAAAACAATTTAAGGTAGCTGGTAGTAGGTTTTAACTGATCCATGCTGATCATTTATTGCCTTAATGTTTGATCAACTGGACTAGTATCTAGTGACCTTGTGTGGTTCTAATATTGTAGAGTGTCCAATCCTGCTTCAGAAGGGCCACTTTCCCACAGAGTTTAGGTCCAACCTGCTCCAACACATCTGCCTAGACGTTTCTTAATTTGACCTTGATTAGCTGGTTTAGGTGTGTTTAATGAAGGTTAACCCCTAAGGAAGATTGCCTTCAGGGGTAGAGTAGGACACCCTGTTCTACACCAGCTTGTGCAAGTAAATAACAGCTACCACGTTCCAAACAACTGCATGACTCCCTAGTGATTTAGTACTCAAGTCTAGTCTCGGACTCGAGACCGGTCTCGAGACCGATTTCTGCTTTCTCGGACTCGTCTCGGACTTGTTCCTTCAAAGACTCGGTCTTGAATCGGACTCGGCATAGATGGTCTCGTCGCCATCACTGACGACGGCTCTAAACAATTCCCAATGTAGCTTAGTCTGTAGGCCTAACTGTTGATTATAAACTGGGGTGATATTAAATCATGAATATCAAAACTGAAATGTCGGGACAAAATCTCGACTCGGACTTGCTTCCTCAAAGACTTGGTCTTGACTCGGACTCGACTGTATTTGAAATTCAATGGACTCTGTCTTGACTTAGACTCGACCCTTCAAAGACTCGGTCTTGACGCAGACTCGACTGTATTTTAAAACCAACGGACTCGGTCTTGACTTAGACTCGACCCTTCAAAGACTCGGTCTTGACTCAGACTCGACTGTATTTTAAAACCAAAGGACTCGGTCTTGACTCAGACTCGACCCTTCAAAGACTCGGTCTTGACTCGGACTCGGCATAGATGGTCTCGTTCCCATCACTGACGACGGCTCTAAACAATTCCCAATCTAGCTTAGTCTGTAGGCCTAACTGTTGATTATAAACTGGGGTGATATTTAATCATGAATATCAAAACTGAAATGTCGGGACAAAATCTCGACTCGGACTTGCTTCCTCAAAGAGTTGGTCTTGACTCGGACTTGACTGTATTTGAAATTCAATGGACTCAGTCTCAAATGGGATTCGATCCTTCAAAGACTCGGTCTTGACTCGGACTCGACTGTATTTTAAAAGCAAAGGACTCGGTCTTGACTCAGACTCGACCCTTCAAAGACTCGGTCTTGACTCGGACTCAACCCTTTAAAGACTCGGTCTTGACTCGGACTCGGCATAGATGGTCTCGTTCCCATCACTGACGACGGCTCTAAACAATTCCCAATGTAGCTTAGTCTGTAGGCCTAACTGTTGATTATAAACTGGGGTGATATTAAATCATGAATATCAAAACTGAAATGTCGGGACAAAATCTCGACTCGGACTTGCTTCCTCAAAGACTTGGTCTTGACTCGGACTCGACTGTATTTGAAATTCAATGGACTCTGTCTCGACTGGGATTCGACCCTTCAAAGACTCGGTCTTGACTCGGACTCGACTGTATTTTAAAACCAACAGACTCGGTCTTGACTCGGACTCGACCCATCAAAGACTCGGTCTTGACTCGGACTCGACTGTATTTTAAAACAAACGGACTCGGTCTTGACTTAGACTCGACCGTTCTAAGACTCAGTCTTGACTCGGACTCGACTGTATTTTAAAACCAACGGACTCGGTCTTGACTCGGACTCGACCCTTCAAAGACTCGGTCTTGACTTGGACTCGACCGTTCTAAGACTCAGTCTTGACTCGGACTCGACTGTATTTTAAAACCAACGGACTCGGTCTTGACTCGGACTCAACCCTTCAAAGACTCGGTCTTGACTCGGACTCGGCATAGATGGTCTCGTTCCCATCACTGACGACGGCTCTAAACAATTCCCAATGTAGCTTAGTCTGTAGGCCTAACTGTTGATTATAAACTGGGGTGATATTAAATCATGAATATCAAAACTGAAATGTCGGGACAAAATCTCGACTCGGACTTGCTTCCTCAAAGACTTGGTCTTGACTCGGACTCGAATGTATTTGAAATTCAATGGACTCTGTCTCGACTGGGATTCGACCCTTCAAAGACTCGGTCTTGACTCGGACTCGACTGTATTTTAAAACCAACGGACTCGGTCTTGACTTAGACTCGACCCTTCTAACACTCGGTCTTGACTCGGACTCGAATGTATTTGAAATTCAATGGACTCTGTCTCGACTGGGATTCGACCCTTCAAAGACTCGGTCTTGACTCGGACTCGACTGTATTTTAAAACCAACGGACTCGGTCTTGACTCGGACTCGATCCTTCAAAGACTCGGTCTTGACTCGGACTCAACCCTTCAAAGACTCGGTCTTGACTCGGACTCGACCCTTCAAAGACTCGGTCTTTACTCGGACTCGGCATAGATGGTCTCGTTCCCATCACTGACGACGGCTCTAAACAATTTCCAATCTAGCTTAGTCTGTAGGCATAACTGTTGATTATAAACTGGGGTGATATTAAATCATGAATATCAAAACTGAAATGTGGGGACAAAATCTCGACTCGGATTTGCTTCCTCAAAGACTTGGTCTTGACTCGGACTCGACTGTATTTGAAAATCAACGGACTCTGTCTCGACTCGGATTCGACCCTTCAAAGACTTGGTCTTGACTCGGACTCGACTGTATTTTAAAACCAACGGACTCGGTCTTGACTTGAACTCGGCATAGATGGTCTCGTTCGCATCACTGACAACGGCTCTAAACAATTCCCAATCTAGCTTAGTCTGTAGGCCTAACTGTTGATTATAAACTGGGGTGATATTAAATCATGGATATCAAAACTGAAATGTGGGGACAAAATCTCGACTCAGATTTGCTTCCTCAAAGACTTGGTCTTGACTCGGACTCGACTGTATTTTAAAACCAACGAACTCGGTCTTGACTCGGACTCGACCCTTCAAAGACTCGGTCTTGACTCGGACTCAACCGTTCAAAGACTCGGTCTTGACTCGGACTCGGCATAGATGGTCTCGTTCCCATCACTGACGACGGCTCTAAACAATTCCCAATATAGCTTAGTCTGTAGGCCTAACTGTTGATTATAAACTGGGGTGATATTAAATCATGAATATCAAAACTGAAATGTGGGGACAAAATCTCGACTCGGACTTGCTTCCTCAAAGACTTGGTCTTGACTCGGACTCAACTGTATTTGAAAATCAACGGACTCTATCTCGACTCGGATTCGACCCTTCAAAGACTCGGTCTGTATTTTAAAACCAACGGACTCAGTCTTGACTCTGACTCGACCCTTCAAAGACTCGGTCTTGACTCGGACTCGACTATATTTTAAAACCAACAGACTCGGTCTTGACTCGGACTTGACCCTTCAAAGACTCGGTCTTGACTCGGACTCAACCCTTCAAAGACTTGGTCTTGACTCGGACTCGACTGTATTTTAAAACCAACAGACTTTGTCTTGATTCGGACTTCGACCCTTCAAAGACTCGGTCTTGACTCGGACTCGACTGTATTTTAAAACCAACAGACTTTGTCTTGACTCGGACTTCGACCCTTCAAAGACTCTGTCTCGACTCGGATTCGACCCTTCAAAGACTCGGTCTTGACTGTATTTTAAAACCAACGGACTCGGTCTCGACCCGAAATCGACCCCTCAAAGACTCGGTCTTGACCCGGACTTGGCATAGGCGGTCTTGTCCCCATCACTATGACTCCCTGTCTGTTTCTAGGGCTAAGTTTCTCAAATGCATCACAGGCCAAAATAGATGTTACAAACTCTTGGCACCAAAGTTTTCTACAATCTATTTACGTTTATAGTACTGTTGAAAAATGCAGCCCTGTGTGTATAGGAGTGTGTGTAGGGTACACAAACCTGCAGCCTCACTGCATGCTCGTGTTTTCTCTTCATGTCATTGATGTGCCAGGCCACCCTCTGCATGGTGTCGATTGCCTCCTGGATAACGTCATACATCTCTGAATCCTTCTCCAGATGAGTGGCGATCTCCTGCAAGACCCCAGTACACCTCTGACCTCGGATCATTGCCGTGACCATCTCTATGTGTGTATCTTTATGTACAGGTGAACTACAGTCTTTGTGTGTAAAAGAAGATGGTTCTGTACGTGTGTGTACTTACATGCAGTAGTAGATGGTACTTTAGGATCCTCTGGACAGGTTTAAGCAGGTAGGAGCCGAGAGGAAGGGAGTGTTTAAGACTCTCCTGGCGCTCTCGCAGAAACTTTGCCACCGTTTTGTTCCGCATGCACTCTGTTAAGACAGCAACGGACCTGCAGATGCATACAAAAACAATGCCAATAAAAATCTACTCACAGACTTGCACAATATTAACAGATCAAATATATATTGTTAATTATATATCCCTGACAACCAAAAAATTACACATGCAATGGTCAACTTTTGAGGAATTTGTGTTTTGGTGATGTTTTTTTTTTATGTATGAAGTCAGTTCTGCTCACATTCACACAGAGGTTCTAGTAAAATAACCATATCTGTAGGTTACGACATGAACGGGATATGTCAATTGTGTATCAATTCCCACAGCCTCAGTGTCACAATGTCCAGTTTAAAAAACTGTATATTATCATTTAGAACCCAACAAACTTTTGTGAAACTTTTTGCTTGAAATGTGCGTATCTTACACTTGGTTGGATGCTATCAAATTCATTTACATTCAGACATTTTCAAAAGTGGTTTAAAAATATAGTTCACCTAATAATGGAAATTTGGTCAACATTTATCACCCTCATGTTGTTGGAACCCCCCCCCATACAATACATTCACTGTGGCCTATGTTGTTTTGGTCTGATATTCATTTTATGGACAAAAACAGTTGAATCATTCCTCCAAATATGTTTTTTATTTTTTTATTTTTTTTATGTGTTCCATGGAAGACATTTGGGACAACATGACGATGAGTAACTGATCACAGAAGTTTTGGTTGGTCCAAATTTTTTTTACAGCATATTACTGTAAAAATAAACAAACACACACATTCACACACAGGCACACACACAACAAAAACACATCTGTGCATGGTTGAGAGAGTAAGGTCGGGCCCTTCTGTTAAAACACAGATTTTACAGTTTATTGGGTCTGCTGCCACGCCTCACAAAGCACTGGGACAGATAGACATGTGTGTGTGTGTGTGTGTGTGCACATTCCAGTGTCCTGTGCACAGACATCACATTGTCCCAATGGGAAATATGACCCAAGTATCACTGAGATACAGCTATTGCTTTCAGGAGAGTTACTGTATGTGTGTGTGCGTGTGTGTGTGTGTGTGTGTGTGTGTGTGTGTGTGTGTGTGTGTGAGAGAGAGAGAGAGAGAGAGAGAGAGAGAGTGCCATATGACCTTGGTTAGGGTCAACAGCTGTGTGAGGGTGTGGAGAGAGGGTCTCCATGGCCCAGAATCTATTCATACACACACACACACACCCACACCCACACACCCAAACACACACACACCTTGCAGCATCTGATGAAACTACTACTGAGTCATGTCACTTTTAATTTTCTGTTATCATCAAAATTAGGGCCCATGACAGCACGTGCTGCCCCAGTGTGTGTGTGTGTGTGTGTATGTGTGTGCGTGCACGCATCCGTGTGTAAGATAAAGAATTTAAAGAAAAGTAGGTGTGTGCAACATTTTTCTATGGAAAGGTGTTGTATATCAATACTTTTGTTGAACTTTGCCATATTCAAGGCTCATGAATTGATTCAAATCCCTGCACACATACATGCACCCAAAGGCAAATATATTTGACACATATTCACATTAATCTGACCTTTATTGAAGGCCTCAACACTGTTCAGCTACAAAAACAGTGACTTTTTATATTTTCATCTCTGATTCTCACTCGCTCACGCTTTAACACACCAAAACAAATGTTTGTAAAGTTGACCCAAAGCAATGCTACACTATTTCAAATGAACTTATCTCACAGCAGCATGCTTATAGTAGTATGTAATAATAATAGGGCTGTGCAAAAATTAATTGCGATTAATCGCATCCAAAATAAAAGTCTGTGTTTACATAGTATATTTGTGTGTGCTGTATATAATTATTTTGTATATATAAATACCTATGCATGAATTTATATATTTAAGAATTATTTGCGCTTAAATTCTGTATATATATAAATACATAATCTATATTATATAAATATAAATAGTTTATATATGAATAACACATTTTCTTAAATATATACATGCATGTGTGTGTATTTATATATACAAAATAATTATATACAGCACACACAAATATATTATGTAAACACAGACTTTTATTTTGGATGCGATTAATCGCAATTAATTTTTGCACAGCCCTAAATAATAATAATAATAACAATAAAAACGTATTGTATTGTTTATCTAGTCTTGCATGCATTTTGATTAGTCTGGTCCACTTGGTCCACAGTAGTGTCAGTCAATAACATTTTTTGGGGAAAAAAGTGTGGCCAACGCAATCAGAAATTGTTTCACAGAAGTAACTGAAGAACAGTTCTACTCATACTTGCAATCAAATGTGTCAAACGGTATCTTTCAAAGATTTGATGCACTAATTTGGCAAACTTCAAAATCCAGTTAAGCTCCCCCAACTATCGGAAGTTGTGCGGCAGTCTTGGATATTTTTACTGACACCTGCTGGTGTGGATGTTACCAAAGTGTTTATAACCCAGTGCTTTAAAAAAGAAGTTGTTCTTTTTCTAGCTTAATGCATTTTTTTTCAACACTTGAATGTGGGTGTTTCATTTTCTGCAAAAATCACTTTTTTGTCAGTGTCCGTTGATCGAGTAGCCTGGTCCTATCAGACTTTCTCACACATTTCATTTGTACAGAGAGTTTAGCCACTCCATTGACAAGAGTTAATGTGTTCCAACCTCGAGTGAGTTCACGTAACTCTTCTGTGTCGTACGTCACACGCATCACACACATGACCAGCGTCGGCCAATAGTGAGCCTACGTGTGACGTATAACACAGAAGCGCTGCGCTGTAACTTGAGGCCCACAGAGAAGGAAATTAATAGTTGAATAAAGTTGTTGTTTTTGTTTGTTTTTTGCGCACACAAAGTATTCTTGTCACTTGATAAACTTAAGGTTGAGCCACTGTAGTCACTTGGACTATTTTAACAATGTTTTTAATAACTTTTCTGGGTCGGCAAGTTTCAATTCCTCAAGAAGCCTATGGAGGAGTGATCCAGCTCTCAGATTTCATCAAAAATATCTTAATTTGTGTTCCGAAGATGAACGAAAGTCTTACGGGTTTGAACAACATGAGGGTGAGAAATAATTACTGACTGAATTTTCATTTTTGGATGAACTATCCCTTTAACTTCCAGGAAGGCGGGTCCTCTGTTGAAGTTTAAAACTATTAGATCTGCCCAGAGTCACTCTGGATCTGCCGTAACCAATCGCTAATGCTCGGGCGTGACGTATGACGACTTCACCTCAGCGTCATCGTTCTCAGCCACTCCCTCTGTTTGCTGATTGGACCGGTAAAAAAATTGACCGCAGAAACCCAAGAATACAGAACAAACCCAGATATAGTACTGAAGGAAAAGTATGTGGCAGGGCGGAGCCAGGCTAGTGATCGAGTCCATCAACACCCACAAGCTTCACAGTCTTATAACTCATCCTGGGTCGACATTTCATTCATTAGGCGGTTTTGATTTAAATGCTGTTTAATATTGATGATCGTGTCTATTTACAGATGCATATGATTCCATATGCCATCGCTTGTTCCTGTTTCTTCTTCACCTGTGTTTCGGTTCTCCTTCAGAAGATGTGTAACAGCGCCCCCTACCGTATAACAGTGAAATCACGGAAATTTCTTTTAATGGCGGATTTGGAAAACGCATTGTTGGAGATGCGAAACTGTAATCACTTTGTTGCGCATCTGTTGTGTTAACTATAAAAAGCGATATATTATTTTATAAATAATTTTATATTATTTATATTTTATATTATATTGGGGCCTTTATGAATGTTGACCCCGACTATGTTTTCGGGAACCAGTGAATCGTTCAACTATGATGGTAATGATCATATAGGTGGCTAACTATGCTTTTGGTAAGCACACCCCTGTTCATCTTGGTGACCATCATAATTGTAGTCTTCATCTTATCTTTTGGGGTAAAATAAGTGCAAAAGGTTACTTTTAAATGTAATTAACAAAGGGGCAGATTGGACAGATGATAGAGAGAGACAGTCAGACTGGGGGTTTCTCTCGGGGGTGAACATATAGAAACAGACTCCAGTGCTGTTATACATAACATATAATATGACCACACACTCTCACACGTCTCACATTCCACACACACACACACACACAGGCATCTGAGACAGACTTCTAAAGCTCTACATTGACACACAAACCAAAGGAAGTGAACAACAACCACAAACCGCAGGACATATTTCTTACCTTGGATAATTTGTGCAGTACTGTGTGTATATGTGGAAGTCTTCACTCTGAAAGACAAGAAGGAAATTAGGGTTAGTTACTCAAAGAAAAATGACTACAAGCATGGGTTGTGTGATGGTGAAGGGACAAGCAACACGCCTCATTTTAAATGATTTAATGGGTTAGTTCACCCAAAAATAAATATTCTGTCATCATTTACTCACCCGCATGTACTTTGTACTTAAGCGCGTCAAAAAGTTAAAAATGAAAAGTTAAAAAAAAAAAAAAAAAAAAAATGTAATTTACATGAAAAAGTTAGTTCAGGCACTTAATTCTTAATTACTTACTTAATTCAAGCGAATAGAAATTAAAGTGTAAATATCAACTCAATAAAATTAAGTCAAATTTACTCAACTTTTCTGATACTGGGGTTCCCATAATGCACTGGACCTTGAATAATTCATTTTTCACTGGTTTCCAGCTGTATTTACACTGTTTTATCACTAATTTTTGTTGTCAGTATTAGTAACTTGCCATTTTTTGACATTTTGAGTAAATTTTTTGCTCAAAATGACACATTCAAACACAAAAACGACCCATCAAATGTTTCCACCATTGTATTGTGTACCAAGTATTGAGGTCTTTGCATTCACATGACGTTTAACATCTGACATGATGTAATATAAATGACTTAGATGAGTAAATCACATACTATAAATGACTAATGAAATTCAATATTATAGTTTTAGTGAAATGCAATGCAAAGGCAAAGGCAATTTCAACTAAATCGATACTAATCAACATTTTACTAGCCAAGTTAAAATCACTTATTTTCTGTAAAGTTTACTTAAGTTAATTCCATATTCCAAGTAAATTTAACTTAAAGATTTCTAATTAAAAGGTACTGATAAACATGTTTAGGTTTTTACTTGGCAAATCTTTGTAAATTTACTAGCATTTTCTGAGTGACAAAAAGTTGCCTAGCTTTTTTCAAGTAAATCCTACTCCATTTTGTTTTAAGTGTATTATACATTTTGATAACACTTTACAATAAGGTTCATTAGTTAACATTAGTTAACTACATTAGTTAACATGTACAATATGTGAACAATACTTCTTCAGCATTTATTAATCTTAGTTAATATTAATTCCAACATATACTTATACATTATTAAAATCAAAGGTTAGTTAATGGACTGTGAACTAACATGAACGCACAATGAACAGCTGTATTTGTATTAACTAACATTAACAAATATTAATAAACACTGTAACTAATGCATTGCTCATCGTTAGTTCATGTTAGTTAATGCATTTACTAATGTTAACTAATGAACCTTATTGTAAAGTGTTACCTACATTTTCATTTAGTTGCAATTAAGTGTCCCAAGTCATTACATGCTGTTCGTACTTAAGTATATTCTTTTAAATTATTGTATCACTCTTAGAAAAAAGGGTTCATTTGGGTTCTATATATATGAAGCATAGGGTTCTCTAAATGACAAGAAAGAATCCTTTTGGCACAAAGGTTCTTTATAGGCTATTATTCATTATTCTGTAACATTTTGTAGTTGTAATTAAATTATTGTTTATTAAACTGTTGTAGTAACTTAATATCACATTTTAATCATGCTGATTTTTGGAGGAGAAAAACTGAAATGGCACTCTTCATGTGATATTGATTAATTACATAAAATTATATAAATATATACATTTTCTAACCCCCATTTTGTGATCATTCACATGCATTCATAAATACATTTTATTGTCAATAATATGACATATTTAATCCGGAAAGGACTAAAAAAAATGATGATGAATGAACCCAACAAGTTCCAAATAGAACCTTTTTCCTGGTTACAAAGAACGCTAAAGTGTTCTTATTATTGAACCCTTAAAAAGAGTTCTGGATAGAACCTTTTAGGGGTTCCAAATCCGTAGCGCTGACAGAACCTTTTACGGTTCCATATAGAACCTTTTCTTCTAGTGTACTTTTCATTAATGTATCCTAAAGTGTACTTTTTTCCACAAGGGTATCGACATTTAGATGGCTATGTCTGTTTGTGCACATTAGCTTGCTTGCTCTGAAAGGTCACATCAGGATGGTGCGGCACACACACACACACACACACACACACACGGCGGTCGCGGTGACTGTAATAAGAGTCCTGATGTTCTGTTTACAGTAATGCTAGATGTGAGCGTGCTCTGATTAAATCTCTCTCTTCTCCTCCTTCATCTGGAGTCTTTCGCTCTCTCATTCTGCCTATATGAACATCAAAGAACTGGGAAAAGTACAGAGAGTCTGAGTATCAAAGAGCCGTTTATCCTCTTCCTCTAATATCCCGTCTCTCGCCGCCCCCGCCAGCTTTCACATCTGCCCTCTCTCTCTCCGTACACACACACACACATACACACAGGTAGCTTTAATAGTGAATGTGTCCTTGCATAAAAGCTGTGACCCAAGTGGAAGGTTCTCTATGGGAAAATGTCTAAATTCTCCTGTTTTCTAAAGTCTGGAACCACAAGATGTGCTCACTGTTTGATAATCCTAGTTGTCTTCAAGTCATACACGTGTGCTAGTACAATATCAATATTAATGGTCAGCTTAGTTTCGACATCATGCATTTTGGTGTCACTGCATTGACCATCAGCATCCAGGACCAGAACAATATTTGTTGCTTTAGGGTTTATATGCTTCTGCCAAACAGCAGGTGGAGGATCCTGTTCTCAGAGAAACACACGTTTGAGAGAGTCAGCGTTTGTCCTTAACACAGAGAGAGAGAGAGAAAGGACAGTGTTCTCAAGGAAGCTTTGATAGAAATCAGATGTAATAAAACCCCTCACTTTTACTGGAATCCTGAAGCTCCTTTGTGATATCAATACCACAGAACTGAGTAATGCCTTTAAACACACACACACACACACACACACACACACACACACGGTTGGGAGTATTTGCTGATGATGACTCACCTTTATCAAGAGGACTGACCAATAAGCACAAGCCACCCTTGTATGGTGTTCGGGTCTGTTGGACCCGTTTTCATTTTTTTTTCAAAAGAAAAATGATACGATTAATTATTTTTTCAAACTCAGACTCATTGGCCTTGGCTCATTTTATGTGAAGAATATATATCAGAACACATTTTCAATAAAAACACACTGTACCACTGTATTGATTTTGTGGAATATAGCCTGATTGTATAAAGTTTCAGTTATCCGTTTCTTTGTATTATGAGTTACTTCCTGATCATGATGGTGAAAATATAATAGGCTACTTGAAACTTATGGGCATTTTAATGTATAACAGTTTAATAATTTTAGCTAAGCAGTTTATACATGTAGATTTACGAAGGTAAGACCTTTGTTTTTTGGTTTTTATGAAGGAGTTAACTTTGTATAATAAAGCTTTGAAAGATATAAAACAAGACAAGCATTGGAGGTTTTCAAAATTATACACAATTCGATAACTGATTAGACCTCTGTGACATTTTATGTTCTTTTTATTTATTTATTGTGTTTACAAAAATCTTAAATTGTTTTGATATTGAAGATATGTATTTGTAAGATGATTTTGATTGTTTAATAAAAAAAAAACGCATGTTTTTTTTTATAAAATATACTTTATTTCACAAGAACATGTGCTGCATGCATTTTTTTGTGTGTAAAATAATATATATATATATATATATATATATATATATACATATATATATATATATATATATATATATATATACATATACATATACATATATATATATATATATATATATATATATATATATATTTGTTTTTTATTTATTTATGTATTTTTTATTTTTGTTTGTGGTTCTGTATGTATTTGTTTGTCCAATATGTATAATTGTTGTAGTTTTTTTGTTTATTTGATTGGTGTTCTTTTGTAATGGCTGTGATGTCTTCGAAAACGAGATGTTGCATCTCAAGGGGTTTATCCTAATCAAATAAATTTACTTAATATCCATCCATCCCAGACGAGACTCTTGCAGGTAAAAAAGTAATAATCATGTTGTAGCATCAAAAAATATCTAATGAGTCATATCACAGTACAATTTTCCAAGTATTGATTTTAGATTGGGAGCAAATTCTGATTAATCCTCTGTCCACTAAATTGGACATCATGCATGCTTTCGCCCATATTTTTCAGTTTTGGGTGAACTATCCCGTTAAAATCAAAAAGCAACGTGATTACGTAATGTAGGTTACTTGTAATTTATTATGTTTAATACAGTATCTCTTCAGTTTAAACCATAAACGCAAACGGTTCACTCAAGTGGACAACTGAAAACTCCTTTGAAAAATGTTTAAAAAATGACATTTCAAATCTTGTTTTTATACCGTAAGACCAAAAATTCATTCAATTAAAAAAAAAAAAAAAAAAAAGTTAATTTAGCATTTCCCCCCAGTGCAAAAAGGCTTAAAAACAACTAAAGATAGTTAATTGTTTTTATTACAACCAAAACTACTAAAAATAGTTTTCGGTCATTTAAATAAAATAAATAATAATAATAATAAATAAATAAATAAAATTAAAAAAAATTGATAAAACACCTAAACTACAGTATATGTATATAAAACAATAAGGCTAAATTAAAAAGTATAATAAATAATTACTAAAACATAAAATTAAAAAGAAAAGAAAATTGATAATATAGAAAACAAAGCTTTGCCGAAAACTCAAAAATATGAATGAATATTTATATAAACAGTGTAAATAATACTAAATGAACACTGGTATAGTTAAGACTCTAATTTCTGATTGGATGAGCAACTTTAGTTGTATTCCTCTCGTTGGATAAGTGTCATCATATACTGTATTTCTAATAAATACAACAGTTACATCTACAAAATTCAAGGACAAATGTCCATGTAATAAATTAACTGATGTTTTAATATTTACATTCTAGACCTAGTTAATTCTCTTAATTATTAAATGCTCTTAAAAACCAACTCCAGGTGACAAATACTGAAATATATTCGGGACACCTTTTCATCCATTGTAAACATACCCAGATTTAGGTTCATTTTATAAACCCACAGCCATATTAGTGAATTGGCGTTGTTCATAAATGTCATATTTTGATGTTTTGATTTCAAGTTTGTCAGCAAAACACACACTTAACCCTTGTGCTGCATTAGATTTTTAACACCGTTGAGTGCATTAAGGACCAAAAATGGCCACATATTAAACATTGCCTAAAATATTATATATTATTATTATTTTCCACTTTTACCAAGTTAAATCTTTTAACCAGCATCAGTCCTCATCATAACTACCAAAAATGTTTTCAATTTCAGGATTTTAACCCTTTAATTACCAGTTTTGTTTGCAAAACCATCGATTTCTATAAGAGGAAAAAACACAAAAATTCAATTATTTTCAATAAACTAAATGCAAAGAGAAAACTTTAGATTTGGATTATCACAGTCCCACTTTGCAAAAAATCCCACTTAGCGCGTTAGAGACCAAAAATGGCCACCTATTAAACATTGCCTATTGCCTAAAATAAGGTGCATTTCCACCCATAGGGAATAAATATGTAGTGACGTCATCTGGTGGAATACACTATATAATGCAAATATAATGCTTTTGCTTCAAAATGAAAGGATGTTTGTGCAAAAATCATGTTTCATGTATTACTGACAGCCTCAGATTTAAACAACGTTTTAATGGGTTTCAAAGGGCCATTTTTGGTCTTTATGGTGCTGAGTGTTACTATTTGATCTACACAGTGTGTGTTATACATATTTTGCAAAATGGGATCACATTTTTTACATGTATCCAAAAAGTCACAATTTTGCCAAATTTCATACCATTTGCATTAAAACAGCCAAAATGGTCAAAGAAATTAAACTGCAAAAGACCAAAAATGTCCCTAATGCAGCATAAGGGTTAAGTAATAACCAGTTACAAACACTGACCACGAAGTGTGTGTCTGATTGAAAGCCTGTGTTAGCATATGTGTGCAGCCGGGCTGTATCTTTCTGGTGTTTCTCACACCATGTTTCATGAGCATACGCAATTATATCAGTGCAAGCAGACGTCTGAAGGCGGTGTGACACTCGGGCTGGTCTGGGTCTGTAGGCTTTATCTTAGTTCTCGTACTAACCCTCAGTCGTTTGCTCTGTGTAAATTGTCAGCCCCCCGCTAACGCCACATTAGCACAACAATAACCCGAACAAAACAAAGCAATTATCACACAAAACCACAGGAAGGAAAACCACAGACACCAGTTGCATTTCAGCAGTTGTTATTAGAGCTATAAAACAGCTAACACATTTCTCAAGTGTGTGTTATTATGCCAGTCAATAGAGGTGGGAAACTTATTCGAACACGCAATAGGCATGATAGAGTCGATGATTGTTTATGTGTGTGACCATGTGATCGTTTTGAGCATTCTTCATAATGTTTAATTGGCGTTGCATGACAGAAAGAAAGTCTTAAATAAAGTGTGCATGACTTTCGAGTGATCTAAGCTTTAAGGTTTGTCTGTGTGAAGAAAAGATGAGAGTTTTACCTTGGCTACGAAACACTTTGCAATGGCAACTGGGTTGGCGTTACACTTCTCCAGGTCATGAAGCAGATCACTAAAACACACACACACACATTGGGTTATAGTATATCATTACTCACATCCACGTAGCCGGACTAACTAACGTTTCACAATGTCTTCCAGTACTGTAGGCCATGAACTGTGAAGGAAAGACCCACTTCCATGAACTGAACAGCATTGTGAACGCATGTGTGGTCACTTCTGCATTGCAGTCATATGAAGTAACACTATGAGTGTGTGTGTGTGGGCTGAATTTGGAGAGAGTCTGGAAAAATGTGCAGGTGTGTGTGTGTGGTCCGAAGTGAGAGGAACTGAAGGAAGAGACTGCAACAAATACAACAGACAGTCTGAAACAGAAGATCTTCAATGAGATGTTTAACCTTCGTCAACCTCAGGGGGGCAAACTGTTATTCCAGGTGTATATTATCTTTACTTTCATTAATATGAAGTTACCAACTTAATTTAGTTACCAAATATGAGGGACATTGTGTACACACAGTAGTACATTAGTAGTTCAATACACATTAAACAAACATCAGAATAAAACAGACTAGAAAAAACTAAAACTATACCAGACTGAATGAGTTTTGATATTAAATGTTGACTTCTTGCTTCTGATAAACATACATTTTCCATAAAATACACAAAATAAAAGTTTGAAATCATTTAATGAATTAATAGCACTTAATGAATGTATTCAAAATGTAAAAAATTATGAGGTATCAGGACTGTGCATATCTAAATAAGTGTTCTGATTAAATTGAGTTTGTTAGAGGGAATTAATCGAATAGCAAAATTATAATTTTTTTATTCAAATTGTGACACGGTTGTAAGGTTTTAATTTTTGGAAATAATAAGAACCAGCCCAGATAGCAAACTGACATTGAATCAACGTGGAAATATGACATCGAAACAACGTTGATCTGACATTGTTTTGCTCATCGAATTAACGTTGAACCAACGTCAGACGCGTCATTCTTTCAAAACTAACGGAAAATCAACTTGAAATCAACGCGTTGTTTCAACGTTATGAAAGCAAACCAATTTTCGATTTTCATTTAGCTTTGAAGAATGCCGCGTCTGACGTTGGTTCAACGTTAATTCGATGAGCAAAATCAACGTTGTTTCAATGTCATGAGAGACGTCGTTTCCACGTTGATTCAATGTCAGTTTGCTGTCTGGGTGTTGTGGACCAGGTCAAAAACCACCACATTAAGCTGACATGGTAGTTTAATTGTGTTGACAGAATAGTTTTCCCTAAAACATTGTGCCTTTTTAAAGAGCCCCTATCATGGATTTTTGAAAATGACTGTTAAAGGGTTAGTTCACCCAAAAATGAAAATTAAGTCATTAATTACTCACCCCCATGCTGTACCAACCCCGTAAGACCTTCGTTCGTCTTCGGAACACAAATGAAGATATTTTTGATTAAATTTGAGAGCTGTATAACTACCACATTGGCTCCTAAGGGACTGCCTCTTGACGGCCCAGAAAGTCAATGAAGAAAATGTTTAAATATCCCAAGTGACTACCGTGGCTCAACTATATGTTTATCAAGCGACGCGAATACTTTTTGTGCGAAAAAACAAACAAAAATAACGAGTTTATTCGACTATTTCTTTTCTTCCTTGTAGGCCAGAACGAGACTTCCTTATAGATTTCCACGACGCATGCGCGAGAATTGCGATCTGAAGTAGTGTAAGCTGGTGTAAGCAGATCGCAAATCTCGCGCATGCGTCGTGGAAATCTAAGGAAGTCTCGTTCTGGCCTACAAGGAAGAAAAGAAATAGTCGAATAAACTCGTTATTTTTGTTTGTTTTTTCGCACAAAAAGTATTCGCGTCGCTTGATAAACATATAGTTGAGCCACGGTAGTCACTTGGGATATTTAAACATTTTCTTCATTGACTTTCTGGGCCGTCAAGAGGCAGTCCCTTAGGAGCCAATGTGGTAGTTATACAGCTCTCAAATTTAATCAAAAATATCTTCATTTGTGTTCCGAAGACGAACGAAGGTCTTACGGGGTTGGTACAGCATAGGGGTGAGTAATTAATTACTTAATTTTCATTTTTGGGTGAACTAACCCTTTAATGTAATGTGGAATATAGCTTTAAGGGAATGAAAACATTTATATCTGAAAGTTCACCGCATAAAAAGTTATTGTCTTTCAAAAGTGAGAGTCGACTCTGAGTCTATGAAGTGAATTGTTTTTGAAACGAGTCATTAGCTGTTACATCGTGACGTAGATATAAAACATTAGCTCATTGGCCACTCCCAACAACTGCGCGCGCAGACGGAAGTGTAAACTCGAAGTCTAGAACACAAATACTTCAGCTGAATAGCATCATGTCGAGAAGACGCTGTTCTATAATGCAAAGATAGTTCAGCCATTTGTTTTCATTGTCCAGGGACGAGCATGTGAAGAATTGGTGGTTAGAGTTCATATTTGCAACGATACCACAACAGTATAGCCCGATTGTGTTCTCATCATTTTAATGACGAATCATTCAAAAACATAAATGAATTTAAATGTGGATTCGCAAGCCGGTTGTTCTTGAAGGAGGTCTCAGTATCCAGTGTATATGGATCAGGTCGTCCTCCTCCGAATCACAATCTATAAGTAATATAATGTTTGCTGTTATGTTTTCTGTAGCATGCACAATATAGTTATATTATGTTGTGTGTATATACTCCGTGCAGCTTCTAAGCGGGGTAAAGTTAGTTTTGTTTTTGATATTCACCAGACATTCATTGAAAAATGGCAATTACCTCCTAAACGACTTAGCCAAATATGACTTCGCTCCAAATATAATAAGCCCTGCCCTTCAAAAGCCGCCGCAATGTGAGTTTCGCCGGGAAAGCTCGCTCTTGACGGAGACGCGAGTTAGGAACCGTGTGGAAAGTGCACGTTTGTTCAAACACTATATACAATTTTCAACACTTGACGAGCTATAATCCTGGTAATCTGCCTACGGTTTACCAATAACAACTGACTGGGTCATTTGACCAATCGCCGCAGATTCGCGTCACTCAAAGGAGGTGTTTGGGAAAATGAATCGTCGAACGAATCATTTGCGAGTCGTTGAGGAAATCGGGTAAAAATAAATGCATATTATAAGACAAATAAAGTGTTTTTTTAATCCTTGCATGCACATTAAACTGTTTTTGGGAACTCCCAAAACAAAAATAGGAACATTTCAAATGCTATGATAGGGGCTCCTTAAAGCCTAATAGTTCATGGTCAAGTAGCAAACACCCATTACTCGTCTTATATAAACAGTTCCCCACTGAAACTAGCAGATGTGTCTCACTGTAAAAAGGTTGCTGTAAATTTTAAAGTAACTTACTGGCAGCTGGATACCAGTATACTGTAAGTGTTTACAGTACCAGTACTGTAATTTCATTTACAGTGATACAATTGTGTACTGTATTAATATTTATAGTAATAATACTGTATATTGTATTCATGAGTACAACTACTGTATTTTTTCTTTACAGTATTAGAATTGATTTCCTATTATAAAGTAGAAAATTATACAGTAGAAAATAATTACAGTAGTAAACACATATTTTCCCATAATCCTTGGCTATTTACATGTTATACTGTTGGCACATTTAACAGTATTATACTGTACATATTACAGTAAAATACTGTTCAAATGACAAAAAATCTGTTACAGTGTACCTGTTAAAACGGTAGATGTCCCGGATATTTCCAAATAAAGAGTTCCTCTCTTCATCTCCCAGCAGCAGAAGAGACTGGTTGCTGATGCAGTCCAGGTAATCCTGTGGAGAAACGGATGAAAGCATGAGTAATCTCATCAGAGTTCATGTGCGATGGGCATCACATCACCCCCACCCGGCTTTCAACTCTTCAGGGTTTGCCATATTTAGACAGACCTGCTTCATCATCTCTCACATCTCACATTAACATTTGCACATCAGTAGATAAGCTATGTCTGCAAGTTATGTAAAGGAGTTAGGGATGCACATACTTTGATGCACATAGTAGTCATTTGGCAGATGCTTTTATCCAATGCGACTTACAACTGAGGAGTAAACCAAGTGAGTCATCGTGAAGAGGCAAATACTACGGAGGCCTATTGCATTCACTTGAAGAAAAAAAAAATCTACTCTGTTTTTCTGAATTAACGAGTTAATTTTTCATGAGAAAAATTTTTTTTGCTCTGTTTTTCTGAATTAACGAGTTAATTTTTCACGAGAAAAATAATTTTGCTCTGTTTTTCTGAATTAATGAGTTAATTTTTCATGAGAAAAAAAAATTGCTCTGTTTTTCTGAATTAATTAGTTAATTTTTCATGAGCAAAAATTTTTTGCTCTGTTTTTCTGAATTAACGAGTTAATTTTTCATGAGAAAAAAATGTTTTACTCTGTTTTTCTGAATTAACGAGTTAATTTTTCATGAGAAAAAAAATTGCTCTGTTTTCTGAATTAATGAGTTAATTTTTCATGAGAAAAAAAAATGTGCTCTGTTTTTCTGAATTAACGAGTTAATTTTTCATGAGAAAATTTTTTTTGCTCTGTTTTTCTGAATTAATGAGTTAATTTTTCATGAGAATTTTTTTTTGCTCTGTTTTTCTGAATTAACGAGTTAATTTTTCATGAGAAAAAATGTTTTACTCTGTTTTTCTGAATTAACGAGTTAATTTTTCATGAGAAAAAAAATTGCTCTGTTTTTCTGAATTAATGAGTTAATTTTTCATGAGAAAAAAAAAATGTGCTCTGTTTTTCTGAATTAACGAGTTAATTTTTCATGAGAAAATTTTTTTTGCTCTGTTTTTCTGAATTAATGAGTTAATTTTTCATGAGAATTTTTTTTTTTTGCTCTGTTTTTCTGAATTAATGAGTTAATTTTTCATGGATTTTTTTTTTTGCTCTGTTTTTCTGAATTAATGAGTTAATTCAGAAAAACAGCAAAAAATAAATTTTCTCATGAAAAATTAATTCATTAATTCAGAAAAACAGAGCAAAAACTTTTTTTCTCAAGAAAAACTAACTCATTAATTCAGAAAAACAGAGCAAATTTTTTTCTCATGAAAAATTAACTCATTAATTCAGAAAAACAGAGCAAAAACTTTTTTTCTCATGAAAAATTAACTCATTAATTCAGAAAAACAGAGCAAAACCTTTTTTTTCTCATGAAAAATTAACTCATTAATTTTTTTTCTTCAAGTGAATGCAATACGCCTCCGTAAAATACAACGCAAGTGCTCAAAATACAAAGTTCAGACATTGCACGGGGTAGCATAAGCCAGATAAGCAGGAAAAGAAAAGGATTTTTTTGTTTTTTCTTTTAAGTGCTCACGGAAGAGATGAGTTTTCAGTTGTCTTTTGAATGGGATTCTGCATTCCGGATGAGGGTGGGCAGATCATTCCACCAGCATGGTACCATGAATGAGAATGTTCTGGAAAGTGATTTTGAGGCTCTGTGTGATGGTACCACGAGCCGTCACTCATTGACTGATCGTAGGCTTCTGCTCGGGATGTAGACTTGACATAGTAAGCATAGCAAGCATCAAAAAATGGTATTTGCCATATCCATTATGCAAATTAAACAATGGCCAGCGGAGTGAACTTTTAAATGATCCGTGGAATCTTCTTACGGAAATGTCTATTATATACTCTTATATACTTCTGATATCTTATATGTTTCTGTCCCAAGGGCCAGTGTTAGGAGCACCGCGTCGCCGGAAGTCCATTTCGACAGATGCCTCCCTCACTAGCCGCGTTTCCATTACCCTTCAATTTGCGCAAATTGAAATCGCGAAATGAAAATACGCTCAATGGAAACACGTCAATTTCGCAAAAACTCCCGTTTATCGCAAAAAAGTTTTTACGCTCGCATGAGGAGGTTTTTCAGGCAATTCGAAAAAGGATTTTTTCGCAAAACTGCAATGGAAACGGATTTTGCGCATTTACAGTCACCTGACTTAGAAGAAGACGGAGTGTGTTTTAGGTCCGTGTCCGCAAATAATAATCATAATTATCATCATTAGCCTATTATAACATTTATTAGGCTATGTAGCCTAGAAGATGCTTTTATCCAAAAAAGCAACAAAGCAATTCGTCACATCTCATTCATGTACAGGTTGGACAATAATAGGGCTAAGATTATCACAAATAAACACTCGATTTTGACCAATATCCAAGAGTGTGTGCGGAGTTTGGAGCACTGGTCGGCAGACAGACGCGGGCGCGCCGTGAACACTTTCATTTTCCCATCAACAGTGGAATCAACTTAAAATACTCTAGCATTTCTGGTTATAAAGAAAATAATAATACATTATTCGCAACTACTTTTATTTGCGTAATGTCACAATAATAAGAAAACGTTGTTCTTTTGTAAAATAACATAAACAATCAGGCACGCTTTATGATCTTCGTGAACTGGAGCGCGAGAACTGAACCAATAGTCTGTTCAGACTAAAGCTTTAAATTTCCACTTCAAAAAGAACAAATTCGAATCGTAAACTAATACCTTCTGATTATGTAATCCGTATAAAAGGTGCCGTTCTCTCTAAAGGTGCATCCGGAGATTATGTTTTTAGCTCGTTATTTTTTCAGACGCATTTATAATAACTCACCTATTCAGCACTGCGGGGAAAATATCATAAATATCCATGTTCTAATTTGGCCTTAGAAAACCAGTAAAATCTACATTTTTTCCCTATATTAATTTGTGAATTTTTTCAATGTTTTAAAGGGGGCAAAAAGTCAAACAAATATCTGAAATTTCGTTGAGATGTAGCCTATATAGCGCAGAATTGGTGTGGTCAAACTAAAATGATGGTGTTCAACTTTGCGTTTTAAAAATACAACAACCGTTCATTTTTCGTTTTGCAACGACCGTTTGGACATAATACGAGATCACAGGAATAGCCTCTAAACCTCAAAGAAATGCCATGAAGACATCGAAGCAGAAATAAGGGAGAAACACCAGGAACTCTGTATCTTTCCCTGCTATTAATGCTTGGATAACACATCACGTCTCCTTCCATTAATAATAATAATACTGTCTAGTGCGATGCATGGCTGTGAAATAGGTTATAAACCTACCAAAGTCCATTGATTTTTGGAATGACTTATTGCGAGATTAAAAAAAGGCGTTTTAGTCGGTTAATGGAAACACCGTCATTTCGCAATAGTTTTTATCGAAATTTGGAAAATATCGCAAAAGTTTTGTGCAAATCTGTAATGGAAACGCGCCTACTGGCTGGGATGCGGTCATGGACGGCCGCTTTGCAGGGGTCTGTGGCAGGACCATCATCATTCTTGGCATATAAACTGCCTGGAGATGTTGGATGTGTTCAAGGCTCTGAGGAACTTCCTCCCAGACATCAAGGGTTACCATGTCCTGGTACAATCAGACAATACCTCAGTGGTAGCTTATCTGAACTGACAAGGGGGACTCAGATCGCGCTCTCTATCCATATTGGCGCATCAGATTGTCCTTAGACCATCCAATTTGGTTCTCCCTCACACATCCTGTCCCACTGGGATTGGATGCCATGGTACAGGCCTGACCGAGGCTACATCTGTATGCTTTTCCCCCGATCGCTCTGCTACCGGGAGTCCTGGAGAGGGTCCGGCATCAGTCTTCTTCTGGTAGCCCCGTTGTGGACGGCCCGAGTATGGTTTTCAGACATAATTTCACTCCTGATAGCTCCGCCATGGCGGATTCCTCTGAGGAGGGATTTGTTGGTGCAGGCGGAGGGCACAATCTTTCACCCTCACCCCGAGCTGTGGAAGCTGTGGGTCTGGCCCCTGAGGGGGTTCAGTACCTAAATGCTGGTCTATCAGTCGGGGTGGTTGAAACTTACTTAGCTTAGGTGGTTGAAACTTACTTACATACTTAGCTCTAGGGCTCCGTCTACTAGGAGATTATATGGCCTCAAGTGGAAGGTGTAGAGAACATGAGTTAGATCCATTTTAATGCCCGGTGGCTTCTGGAGTTTCTTAAGATCATTTCTCTGCGGGTCATATAGTTGAAATAAAGTCGTTATTTTTGTTGTTTTTTGCGCACAAAAAGTGTTCTTGTCGTTTGATAAACTTAAGATTGAGCCACTAAACTCACTTGGACTATTTTAACAATGTCTTTAATAACTTTTCGAGGCCGTCAAATTTCAATCCCTCAAGAAGCCTATGGAGGAGTGATCCAGTTCTCAAATTTCATCAAAAATATCTTAATTTGTGTTCCGAAGATGAGCGAAGGTCTTACGGGGTTGGAACAACATGAGGGTGAGTGTGTGTGTGTGTGTATGTTTTGTTTCAACAAAAGGAAATTCAACAGGTGTCAATCTACCAGCATTAGGCAACCATTATAGGACGTTATAAAAATACTGCACCAGAATAGACTTTAGCCTATAGAAAAACCAACTCGGAAAACACTTTACAGACTGGATGGAGATATCCAGCTTGAATTCAGCTGTGAATGAATGAATGATTGAATGAATGAATGAGGCATTTATATAGCGTTTTCATATGTCTACTAGGCCTACACTCAACAATCATATCAGATAATCTCTCCTTTTTCAGACTGACTAAAGTTAGAAAAGTGAAATCATACTTAAAAACCCTTTAAACAAACTTGGCCTTGTTTTTACTAGAACAAGGGAACAATTAATACAATGAATTTGAAAAGTCTTGAGTAATTAATGTATTTTTTTTCAATTTTGGGGTGAACTAATCCTTTATTCCATGGCCAAAATATCCATTTCTTGCCATTAATACTGTACTTTGAAACCCAACTGCAAAGCATTGGCTGA